CAAGATTCTCATTGTTTGTTTTTGAGACAGGGTCTCACTATGTAGCCTGTCCTAGAACTAGCTGTGTAGGCCAGGCTGGCCTCAAACTCATGGAGATTCTTTGCCCTATGTATCCCAAGTGCTGGGATTAAAGGAATATATCACTTAAAAGTGTGTGTGTGTGTGTGTGTGTGTGTGTGTGTGTGTGTGTGCGTGTGTGTGTGTGTGTGTGTGGTGTGGTGTGTGGTGTGTGTGTGTGTGTGTGTAGAACTGCAGTTTCAGGTGGCTGTGAGCTGCTCAGCAGGGCACTGGGAAGTGAACTTGGCTAGTCTGGAAGACTATCAGGTGCTCTTAATCACCCACTCTCCAGACCCCAGGTTCAACTCTTAAAGCGCCATTCTTGCCATTAAGACTTCAGTGAGATGTGATGGCTCAACCTGTTTACTTACTTATTTTTTAGAAATCCTCCAGTCCTCTCCAGACTCCTTTCTCTTCCCTGGGAAGGTTTGTCCTTCCTTCCTTCTTTCCTTCCTTTAGAAAAAAGCCTGTGTGTACTGCAGGCTGTGGTGGCATAAACCTGTAATCGCAGCACTTCTTTCAAGTGGGGAAGCCGAAGGACAGGAGTTTGAGATCTGCCTCAGCCTGTTCACAGTTAGCCTGAGCTACAGGATGCTTCACTCTACACATAGAAAATAACAATAAAATAAATAAACGAGGTGAATGTTCAGAGCAACAATCAGCCTCTTGGAAAACAAAACAAAATGTTTCCTATTAACAGCTGGTATATTCAGGTTTGCTATCAGCAAATTTCATAATGCTTGGCTGAAAATTGTTTGCTGTGCCTATAAATATTCTTGGAGGAAGGAGCCCTTGTATCAGGAAAATAATTTTCTTGGGATATTAATTCACATCCTTTGCCTGTTATTTATTTACATGACTTTAAAAGCAATTAAGACATTTAGAAAACACGTTAAACTACAGATTAATGTGCATTTTTCTCTTGGATTATCACTCAAAGGTTTGCCCCAACCCTTTTCCACCCAGGGAGATAAATGTTTCTGAAGCAAAGAGGCATATTTCCTTTCTGTCTGGTTTCTTAGAATTCATTTAAACATGCTTATTGAAAGAAAATTTTTCTGTCACGTAATATTTTAGCAAGATGCCCTAAATATATACAGCTTGCAGACAGTAAACATTGCAAGACATGATTGCTACCATGTTTTCTTCCTTAGGCAAACAATACCTCCGGCAAAATGCCCTGTGTAAACACCTGCAGAGGTATGTAAATGAAATTAGCATAGCGAAAGTTTAGGCTCAGCTATTTTCCTCTAAGTCTTTTAAATAAGAGTGAATATTCAAATAGGGGAAATGCCTTGAGACACCAGGGGTCTTTATTGAGTTACCTTCCCTGGTGCAGAAGAGGACAGGAGGATAGCTTACCTCCAAACTAAATACCTCGGTCTCTAAACAACTCCCAAATCAGACCACAAAGAAAACATTTTCTTGTTTAAGACATTGTCTTTAAATAAATTTAAATTCCTAAAGAGTCCTGGGGAGTTTGGGATTGCTAAAACCAGCACAGACAGGAGATTCCTCGGGTGGTTCCTTGAAAGCCCTCTTCCGTTCCTAGGAAGGAAGCCTGCATGTCAAAACCAGGTCTGACTTGTGTTAAACAGCATGACAGGACACCGAGCACAGAGCTATCTGAGCTAATACATGAAGATTCACAGTCTCTGGAACATGGCTTAGCATAAAATATTCCAGGAGAGGATAAATATCATGGGTAGCTGGCACCTCTTTAGCAGCTCGTTACAGGTGGGGGTGGGTGAGCCAACCTTGGACTGAAATCTTAATCTAGTGTGGCTTCCCAATTGTGGTACAGCCATGAGGGAGGATGTGAGAGGCAGGACAACAGCAAAACCTCTAGTGGAATCTTAGGTTCGTCTTAAGCTTTAAGAATTTTATCTTCTTTGTTGTTCAGAGAAACAAACGCTTACATTTTTATTGTTAATGTTGCAATATTGCTTCTCGAAAACTTCATAGGCCTTGTTCAGTTTTCTGTTTATGTGAACCCAGCAATTAAATACTGGACTAGTTTAACACCAAGGGTTAGCAAAATTACCCTTTTCCCCCTCCAGGCTGGCTTTGCCCTACCTTGGCCTTGAAAGTGCTGAGATGAGACTAGAGGTCCACCATCACACCTGGCTTTCCAACATTTCTTTTTAAAAGAAAAACTTTTGCTTGGTGGTGCCAGCACCAGGCACACGCCTTTAATCCCATCATTTAAGAGGCAGAGGCAGGCAGATCTCTGAGTTTGAGGCCAGTCTGGTCTGCAAAACAAGTTCTAGGACAGCCAGGGCTACACAGAAAACCCCTGTCTTGAAGACACCAAAACAAACAAACAAACAAACAAAAACAAAGATGGAGACAAAGGAAAGAACTCCACCAGGATACAATCCGGTGGGAGAGCAGTTCCCTGACAAGGCCAAAGCCCTAGGTTCAGGCCTTGGTACCTCAATAAAGAAAGAAATCCTTAAAAGAAAAAGAAAAAAAAAAAAAAGATAAACAAAGGGATTTCTTTATTTGTTGCTAGGGGTTAAAGCCCTGATCGCTACACCTGCTGAGCCACTTTTTAGAGGCACAGCCACGAGCACCTGGCTTAACGGGAGGGTTTATCAGGGTGCTGTGGTGCATGGCGGCCGCCGTGGCCACACAATCCCAGCGTTTGGGAGCTGAAGTTGGAAGACTGAGAATCCAAGACCAGCCTCTGCCTTTACAGCCTGGGCAACAAGAGAGCCTACCAGCAAACAAATAAGAACCTACTAGTCAAGGCTTTCAGGAGAATTAAATAAAACTTCGTGCCAATAAGGGCTGGCTGCAAGAGTGGGTGTGAGTAGGCTTCAATACTGAAAAATGAAGGAGACAGGAGAGAAGGGTGGGAAGTGGGGAAGGGAAAGAAGTGGGCAAAGAGGGAGATGTGTTGTGGTAATCACTTCTGTTAAAAACGCCAAACTTGGCACCAGACATGGCAAACAGTCATATTACCTTCATGTCCCCTGTTCTCTACTTTCTCTCGCTTGGACCTGAGCTACTGGCACCAGCCACACAGTATGTGTATACACAACAAAGCCTTGCAGAAAGTCTCCCCTCGAAGTCCCGACCACAGCTACTGACTGGTTTTGAAAATCACAGAAGTTCTGTCTCTCAGCTGTATAGCAAAAGGCCTATTCCCCATTCCCATCCTTCCTCTGCCAGCCTTGGGGGCCAGGATGACAACTGTGAGTGTGAGGTGTAGACACACTTGTGTCCAGAGAAGAGGAACTCTTCCCTGGGGATCTTTTTGTCAGGAAAGAAAACCTTTCCTAGACACCCTGAACAATTGTACCCTTCTGTCCCCACAGCCTGAGTGGTTATCGCTTGAAGATGTCTTAATCAATCTTGGGCAAGATCAATGAAACTATCATATCTGGATTAAATCAAGCAAGTTTCACCCTCTGGAACTAGAATGATGTTCATTTCCATCAATACAGGAGAAAGGCGGTGGATATATAGACGAGTATATTGACAGACGAGAATTATATTATCAGAATACTGGCAGCTTAGACTAAGGAAGGCATAGTACAAACTTAAGAGGTCTTTGGACATCTCCCATTCCAAAACATGTAGGAGCTAAAAATAATGAGTGCTCATACTCTGTCATTCACAGGAGAGGAAGGCTAGCTATAAGGACAGGAACAAGGGCCCCAAGCATAAAGTCTTAAGCCATAATTCTAATTATCTTTAGGCTTGTTGTAACCTCACCCAAATTGTAGCCACCTTCTCTCCCCCAGATATCAAAAGACCTATTCCATTATAGCAGCACTACATAGTTCAGAATTTCACCCTATAAATCAAAAGTTCGTGTGTAACTAGGCCTTCAAAGGTTTGATGAAACCATGAGCAAGGAGATACTACCTTCCTTCAGATGTGTCCAACATACAATGGAAGAGACGTTTGAGATAGTTCAGTATTTTCATTTCATTTTAGTTTTTTAATAATTTATTGAATTTTATCGTCTGTGCATTCGTGTGAAGGTGTCAGATCTTTTGGAATCGTCGTTACAGCTGCGATGTGGGTTCTGGGAATTGAACCTGGGTCCTTTCAGAAGAGCGGACAATTCTCTTAACCACTGAGGCGTCACTCTAGACCCAGCATTTGCCTTTTAAAAGAGAATAGAACAAGTACAACTGGGCTGCGACGATTCTGAAATCCAGGTCGGCGCAGGTAACGTTTCTCTTCTTTCCCTTGCTGTGGGAAGGCCCAGCTAGTGGAAAGGCCAACCTAGCAAGGAGCAGATCTCTACGAACAGCCACGTTTCGGGGCCCCAATCCAACAGCAATGCCTCTGGCCGGCCGCTTTAGGCCATCTAGTGAGATTCTGGGGAAGAACCACCAGCCAGACTGTGTCCCTCCGAATTCCTTATTCACAGAAATTACAAGACCATCTGTGGGAGAGGCGTGAGTGCCGCCAAACTCCGCTTTTGTTTGCTTGTTTGTTTGTTACTTTTGAGACAGGGTTTCTGTGTAACTTGAACTTGGCTGTCCTGGACTCCTTCTGTAGGCTGGTCTGGCCTCAAACTCACGGAGGCCCACCTGTCTCTGTCCCCCGAGTGCGGGGATCAAAGGCATACGCCACCATGCCCGGCCTCACATTCAACTTCTAATAGTTTCTCTCTTGAGCTGTATCTCTGAACGGTCATTGGTCACACGCGGCTTTGGAGCATTTAGAACACAGAAGAAACAAGCGTAATGACTGTGAGGTTAAAGTATACATCCTATTTCAAATAGTTGGTAAGAAAAAGAGAATGAAAAAAAAAAACCCAATAAATTCTATATAAGTTCTATTATTAAATGGTAATATTTTAAGTGTGTTGAGGCAAATAAAATGTATTTTTCAAAATAATATATGTTTTTATCTCTTTGACAACTTTTAAAATGTGGTCGTTCCGTGATTTAACCAGTCTTTACTTCCAAGTAACTTCTTCAGTTGGACCTCGGTTCCCTTTGAAATAGCATGCTCTCATTCCGGAGGGCAGTCAGCTTTTCGTCATCCCTCTTGTCTAGGTAACACCCAAAGACAAAGCCCATGGGGACAAACACATGAACCCAGGGGTCACAGACTAGCTGAAGTAAGTCCATCATGACTGCAGCTCAGTGCCAAGCAAGATCCTCCCCGTTTTTAAATATTTATTTCTTTATTATGTATACAGTGTTCTGCCTGCATGTATGCACTCAAGAGGATACCAGATCTCATTATAGCTGGTTGTAAGCCACCATGTGGTTGCTGGGAATTGAACTCAGGACCTTTGGAAGAACAGCCAGTGCTCTTAACCTCTGTGCCATCTCTCCAGCCCCCAAAAATATATTGATAAAGTAATTTTTATGCATTTCTCTTGGCTTTTTAAAATGTGGCGATTGGGCTAGGATGGTAGGTTCATGCTTTTCACCCTAGTGCCCTGAAGGCTGAGACAGGAGAGTTAGAGAGCCCACACTATTCTTAGGAAGACCAGGACTGGAACAAAGCAACAATGACATCAAAAAGTGTGACTATTGGATTAGAAGTTTTGTTTTGTTTTATGTGAGAAAGGGTCTCACTCGATAGCCCAGGTTGGACGGGACGGGAACACATTTTGTAGCTGAAGATGATCTCAGCCTCTTGGTCCTTCTACCTCAGCCCAAGCACTGGGACTGCAGACAGGTTCCTGAAAATTTAAAAGTATGTACAGAGCTGACATTTGTAACACATATTGTATTTCCACAGTCGCTATTGTTATAGACTCTCATCTGTTAATTACTCCAAATGCCACCGGAACACACACTAACTGAACTCAGTGTGGACAAAACCTTTCAGGCCACTCCCCACGCTCACAACAGAGTAGCAATAATGTGTCCAATTGCATCCCTTCCACACTTCCACAACAGTGGCGCTTAGGAGGACACTGTGAGCCCCTCTGTGTTACTCTCCACGGTTTATGATGTCTGTCTCCCTTCACCAACACAGAAAAGGGAAGCAGGTGCAGTGGCCTAGACCTGTAATCTCGGCAACTGAGGAGGCTGAGACAGGAGGATTGCCTGGATTACAAGGCAAGTTCAAGGATAGCCTAGGCAATTGATTGGGGACCCTGTCTCAAAATAAAAAGTAGAAAATAAGAAGAAGAGGGGGCTTGAGTACAGTATCATAGTCGAGCCCTTGCCTAGCACCTGTGATGCACGGGGTTCAACTCCCGTACCATGAAAGAAGAAAACAAAGAGAAAAAAAGCGAAAGCATTGCAAAGATGATAATAAATATGTAAAGTCGTCAGGCGGTGGAGTGGTGCATTCTGGAGGAAGAGGCAGGCAGATCTGAGTCCAGTGGCCAGCCTGGTCTACAGAGCCAGTTCCAGGACAACCACGGCTGGCTACAACCCTGTCTCAAAAAACCAAAACAGACAAAAAGTGTAAAACCCGACCTGAGAAAAATGAAAGAAAGAAAAAAAGAAGGGAGGAAGAAAGGAGGGAAAGAAGAGAGGGAGGGAGGGAGGGAGGGAGGGAGGGAGGGAGGGAGGGAGGGAGGAAGGACAAATGTATGCACACATTTAAAAAGAGTTACCATTACTCCCTTTTTACAGATGAGGTAATGAGGCACAATGAGCCTAAGGAACTTGCTCAAGGTCACGCAGTGACAAGAGAAAGATGGAGGTCACAGTGTTTTGAGAATGGACTGTAGTCTTGTGAGACTGGACCATGGCATGCCAGTGAAACTGAAGGAGACATTAGAGGCCCATCCTGGTGGTGCAAACCTGTAATCCCAGGTGTTCTGGAGGATGAAGCTGAAGGGTCGAAGGTTTAAGATCTGCCTGGACTACTAAGCACGTTTAAAGGTAGCCTGGGCAACATAATGGGACCCTGTCTCAAAGTGAAATATGGCAAAAGAGCTGGGCATGTAGCTTATTTGCCTAGCAGCACAAGGCCCTGGGTTCAGTCCCCAAAAAAAGGGAGAAGGGGAAGGGTGGAGATATGAGAGTTCTCGGTGGTTAAGAACTTGCCAGTTTTGCACAAGGTGCTGATTTTATCCATTGCAGGAAGAGAAAGGAGGAAGGGAGGGAGGAGGGAAGAAGGGCCAGAGGGAGGAAAAGAGGGAGAGAGAGAAAGAATGAATATCAAATATCAAGTTAATCTGTGGCTATAGGACCCAGAATGTGTCTGCTCCTGTCTGATCTCAGAAGCTAGTGGGGTTCGGTCTGGTTAGTACTAGGATGGAAGACTATCAGAGTAGCGATTCTCAACCTGTGGCTCATGACCTTCTTGGGGGGTCAAAAGACCCTTTGACTGGTGTCTCCTAAGACCACTGGGAAATAGATATTTACATTATGATCGATAACAGTGGCAAACTGATAGTTACAAAGTAGCAACAAAAATAATTTTGTGGTTGGGGGTCACCACACATGAGGAACTGCATCAAAGGGTTGCAGCCTTAGGGAGGGTAAGAACCGCTGGGTAAGAGGCACAGCCAGATCACATCTTTCTAGAGAATTCAGAATTTCACTCTTTTTCCTTGCCCTCCTCTCATTCTATTCTTTCTTCTCTGTCCCTCTCTTTCTCTTCTTTTCTTCCTTCCTTTTCCTGTTCTTTGAGACAGGGTCTTACTCTGTAGTCCATGGCGGCCTGAGCCCCAGAACACACTGTGTATTCCCAAGCTGCCCTGAACACCAAAGCATTGCAAGGCTGAGATAGCAGCCCCATGCCACCACACCCAGGAAAAAAACAATCTTTTCTTCCATAAACAAAGAGGTAGCGTCAAATGGCTTTTATCTGAGGGAGCGACTAGTATCTCCCAACTGATACTTTTTTAAGGTAAGTTGGCAGCCATGTGAATGACTGAAGAAGAGATTAAAGGGTTCCCCACTCTGAAGTGCCAGAGATGGAGCCAAAGGCCCTTCCCATGCTAGGCAACTGCTGTTCTACTGGCCTGTATCTCCAGCTCCCGGCATTCTCCAGTCTGTATTCTCGTCTTCATCCTTCCAGACACCCAAATTGCATACATGAGAGCTGATATGAATTCTCTCCTTGTAAGGCAGACACTGTGACAGGTATGTTCTCTTGTTATCCCAGCACTGGGGAGGCTGAGACAGGGGGATTGCTACAATGTCAAGCCTGGGTTACATAGCAAAACACTGTCACTACATAAAGAAGTAAACAGTCCTAGCAATTTTATCTCCTAAATCCTCTCCAACCCATGCCCTCTTCAGTTTCAGCCCCATAGTTTAAACCTGCAGCAGACGGGCTAAAGAGATGGCTCAGTGGTTAAGAGCACTGACTGTTCTTCCAGAGGAGTCAGGTTCAATTCCCAGCATGGCACATGGCATTGGCATGACAGCTCATAACAGTCTGTAAGTCCAAGATCTGGCACCCACAGACATTTGTGCAGGCAAAACACCAATGTACATAAAATAAATAAATTATAAACTGTATCACCTCTTATCTCAGGATAGTTTAAATATCCCCTTTACTCTCTCTATTCCTTTGCTTTCTCTGCTTTATCCTTCCCCTGTCAACAAAGGATCATTCAAAATGTTATTCTGATCATCTATTTAAAGCCTCTTTTTGGTTTCTTCTTGACTTTGGACTTTATTTTTTTTTTTAATTACATGTGTGTATGCACATGAGCCACAGCGTATGTGTGAAGGTCAGAGGGCAACTTGTGGGGAGTCCGTTCTCTCCTTCCACTATGCAGTTCCTAGTGATTAAACTCAGGTTGTCAGGCTTTGCAAGGAGATCCTTTATCCTCTTTTGTTGGGAGACAGGAGGATTGCCATCTATTTATCTGTTTTCAGAGAGTGAGCTTACTTGCTTGTTTTGTTGTGGTGGTAGTTTGCAGTGCTAGAGATTGAAGCCAGGGCACGTGGAAAAGCAGCCCACCAGTGGAATAATTCCCAGCCCAGTGTAACTGTCTCTGAGAGCAGGTCTCCTGTAGTCCAGGCTGGCCTCAGACTCATTATGTCATCACAGATGGCTTTGAACTCCTGCTCTTACTGCCTCTACCTCTCAATGCTGAGCTCATTTCGTTTTTGTTCTGAGGCAGGATTTCACTCTGTATCCCAAACTGGCCTGGAACTGCCTCTGTAGACCAGGCTGGCCCCAAACTTTAGGTAATCTTGCCTCTGCCTCGAGATTGCTGGGATATTGTAGATAGGCATTACCAATCTGGGCTGAAGCTGCATTGGAAGAAACTTCATGGATTTACTCCGTTTACCCCCTTCTAAGCCCAGCCACTGCCCTGTTGTGCTTGCACCGTCCAGTTGTCCCAAGCCATTTTCTGCCCCCGTATGCACGACCCGAGTCTTGACTCAGGCTCTGCTCTCTGCCTGCCACCCTTTCTCTCTCCACCTGCCCAACTGCTGCTCCCGCCAGAGACAGTTTAAGGGCACTGCCTTTGGGAGACTTCCCTACATATAGCTCCTTTCCGGGCTGACCGCTCTGTACTCTATGATATGACCTATGACATTCAACATATAACATTCTATGGTACGTGTGTATAACTTAGCATACGGAAATTTAACTATGGCCTCCTTGAAGAAGTGCTGTGCGAGAGCAGCCTTCCTCGTTGTTCTTTCAGCCATTGCTGGAGACCTACCCTTTCAGGTGCTGTATGTGTGGGGGAAGCTAGGGGTAAAACCGTGTGGGTTCCCTACAACTGGCTTTCCGGGGCGGTTGTGCACTGCCTCGTGTCAGTGCTGGGAACTGAATTCCTCTGCAAGAGCGGTGCCTGTCACTCTTAACACCTCCAGCCCCGGAAGTTCCCCTTTCACACTCCCTGATTCCCCACTTTCACCCTTCTTTGGTGTTCTGGGTCACACTTCCAGCATTCATTTCCCTACTAAGTACTGTTAGGTAGTCAACCGAATATTTCCCCTAGGGGTGTACTGAAGTTTCTAAATGCCATCTTCTAAGTTCCCACCGATATCCCTAAGGTCAGCAGCTATCCTTCTGCGCTGTTCACTTAGGTTTGATTTGCAGTTTTTCTGGTTTTGTTATTTATTCGGGGCCACGGTCTCCCACCCAGTCTAGGTCGGCTTGAAATTCTACACCATCCTTCCTCCTGCTGGAATGGCGGGGATTAAGGGTGTGTGCCACCGGAAGGCCTCCTCATCCTTTCTCATTC